GAAGAGCAGCACAAAGGAATTCCTGCCACTGCAACCAGTAAATCTGCTTCACTAGGGTCTCATTCTAAAGGCCTCTATGAAAGGCACATAGGACAGGAGGAGTAAATAAATAGGAGGAGTTAGAGATGTACACACAACTGCAGGCCTGTAACCTCACTGGCATCATGGAGACGTGGTGGGATGGGTCCTGGGAGGTGAGAAATGTGAAGCTCCAGGGCAGCTGGGCTGCAGTGACCAAGAAAAGGTGGAATTCGAGCCTCTTAGGGCAATGAAGAGCATGCTCAGCAAACTCAGTACCCTGGATTTCAGGAGAGCAGACTTTTTCCCACTCTCATGAGACTCCACCTGGAGTCCTGCATTCAGTTTTGAGGCCCTCAACATAAGAAGGATGTGGAACTGTTGCAGTAAGTATAGAGGAGGCCACAAAGATGATCACAGGGGTGGAGCACCACTGCTATGGAGACAGGCTGGGAGAGTTGAGGTTATTCAGTCTGGAGAAGAGAAAGCACTGGGGAAACCTTATTGTGGCCTTCCTTATTGTATACTTGAACAGGGCCCATGAGAATGAGGATGACCAACCCTTCAGCACGGCTTGCCGTGACAGAACAAGGGTTAACAGCTTTGAACTGAAAGACAGAAGGTTTAGATTAGATATAAGGGAAGAAACTCATTACTGAGGGTGGTGAGGCACTGGAACAGGTTGCCCAGATAAGCTGTGGATGCCCTACCCCTGTAAACAATCAAGGTCATAATGGACAGGGCTCTGAGCAACCTGATCTAGCTCAAGATGTCCTTGTTCATTACAGGGAGGCTAGACTAGTTGAGCTTTAAAGGTCCCTTCTAACACAAACCATTCCATGATCTTATTGTCTGCACTATGATTTCAGATTTCATACAAATGGTCAATGATAAATATCAGAAGGGAGTTTTAGAGAACTCATTCTGTTTGTAAACAGAGACAAGACGTAAAATATTTAACAAGCTGGATATAATGATTAACACTGCAGTCTAACACTGTAAGGCTTTTGAGAAAAAGCTAATACTGGACTAGCATAAACCATGGCTCCAAATGGAAAAGATTTTGACCCCTGCTACAGTAGGAAATGGAGATGTTCAACATTCCTAAACAGAAGGGCCTTTTACAGATTATAGACCTGCACTGTGAGATGGAAAAATGTAACCATACCAGAGCCTTCTTCTCTTCTGACTTATGCTTTTACATTTAAATGAAAACTGTGCATGGAGATTCCAGGTAAGATTACATTCCTTAAACATCATGTGTCCAGCACACAGATGCATGGACAGTGTCCTGAGTAAAAATTATTATTTTCTTGAGAGGGTGGTAAGTTTGATTTTCCTTGAATGTCTAAAATTCATAAATAGATATAGTGAGATTCTAAGGGAGTATGAATTAGGACCACTCACGTGCTGTCAGATCTGCATCCAAAATGTGTACCTGCACAGACATTAAAGTCTGCAAGAGCCTATGGCTTTTTCTTCACATAATAGCCTGAAGGTTTGGGACAAGAAGTTAATTAACTGATATGAACCATAGAAACTAATAATATTAAAAACCTGTAAGATTGTTCAGTTTGTCTCTTCAGAGGCAACTAGATGATTTAGCAGGTTTTGTTTCCATATCTCAGCTCCTACTAAACAATCAAAAATTTTGATCTACAGATCTTCACAAATAAAGTATTTGCAATACAAAACAGAACTATTTGAACTTGAATAATTGAAATTACTACAGTTCTATTCTGAAGATGGTTACTACTTTTTCCCTGTATGGTCATTCTATTGCTCTATTAGCCCTACTCCTGCACTGCCATGCTGAAGGAAGGGGAATTTACCCATGGAGTGCTCAAGTCTAAGCTTCCCTCTGAGGTTCTTTTGCGTTAGTTTTAGTTTAGGACAGGAGATGAATCTCCCTACCATTCCCACTTAGCCTGCTTTGGTCAGCACTGCAGCACACAAATTCTTTGGAATGAAACTATCTCAAATGCTAGCAGACATGCAGGCCATGTGACTACACTAGAGCTAGTCCTCAATAATCCTCCCTCCCTTCAAACCCGTTGACTTGGATATTGGCTCAGCAGCACCACTCATTTAACTTCACAGATGTGCTCTGTGCAGATTGTGCCAGGATGTTGATGTGGAGGAGTCGCTCCTGCACAGCAGACACAGGTACCAGGGCAAAACTGAACTGCAGGGTTTTCTTAAGCACCACTCTGCTCTATGGGCTGAAATGATGTTTTAGATGACAGAGTAACGTGAATTTACCCCACAGCCCCATCCATACAAACTGCACAGCAGAGAAACTCAATCTCACTGCTAATGTGGGTCTGCATCTGCACAGCAGTACTGGTGGGGCATAATCTGTATGGCAAAACTCATCTATTTTGGAAGGCCCCTACTAACAGAATTTCTACCTTTTACTTTGTCCCACTATTTGACAACTCTCACTTTGTTCTTTAATCTGTGAAATGGACACATCTTCTGACGTAAAGGGCAAACCTCTCTGCTCTGACACTTACTGTCACTGAAATGTGCAATGTCTATTTTAAGCAACAATAAGTACTCGAAGGTGTCCCTGCCCATGACAGGAAGGTGAAACTTGATAAACTCCAAGTTTCCTTCCAACCCAAACTATTCTGTGATTCAGCCATCTGCTACTGAAAATATTTTGTAAAATTTCTACCCTCTGCTTTCTGGTACGTAAGCTGCTGAATTACAGACCAATTTCGTATAAGTGATGATATTAACATACTTTAATAGAAGAGGAGGTGGTAAAACTGTCCTGTGATTTAGTAAACTATCTGAAATGAAATTTTGACTGTGTATTGAGTAAATAGGCGCTGTAAATAGATTGAAAATATTTCAAGAGTTACTTTAGGATACCTGAAAACACTTTAAATGTATCAATACTGGCCGTGTGATAAATGTAATGACCCCTCTGGTGAAACTCTCCAGCACATGCACCCTCATATCTCATTGTGGGTTACCCTGAATTATCATTCCTGTGCTCCTTCCTTCTACAGACGGAACACAAGTGCATTTCCAAGCATCCCGCTGAACTTGCGGCTGTTCCTGCCACCTCGTGGCAACTGCTGAGCTTAACAGAAACACAAACTAAGAACACACCAAGGACACATTTTCAAAGACAACTTAGGAAAATGGGCGCAGACTTTTGAGATGACTGTTTTGAGTCCCTTGGTTTTTTCAAGTTTGTTGAACTTTTCAAGTTTGTTGACTACTACAAAGAGACAGCAAAACTTTCAGACTGACTTCAGGAAAAAAATATGGGTCTTGTTACATGTGTCAGAAGAGACACTGATTTTCCCAGGAAAACATAATAGAACAATATGATTATTTTTATATCCCTAATTTCTAACTATAAATGATATTGTTTAAAAAATTAAGCTGGGGTGATCTGGATAAAACAACCCATTTATTGTGAGATTTATCTTAGGCAGAGATGCCTTCACTCTTCGTTTTCAGAACAGCGAAATGTCAAGAATTTCTGCTGTCACCAGTCACTCAGAACTCTTTACCTACATCTTCCCTTTCTAAGCTATTTATTTAAAAGACAAGCATAAGTGCTATGACAAAGAATGCTGCAGTGCCTTTTAGAAAAGCAAATGGTTATATACAATAAAAAATGTTTCTGGCAATCAAGAATCACTGATGTATTTGTAGGTTTGCACAAGAATTAAGCTGAGAGGAGTGGAACTGAGGTATGGAGTGTTTCCTCTTTTCATACACTTCAGCATGTCATGAAGTAACCCAATCCCACAGGAGACAGTTTCAAAGTACTTTGTTACGACACACGGTCCTTCCTAAAAATAAGGAAGTTTAAAGTTATCTATTTTAGAAACTATTTTGATATTAGTATTCAGAAACAATCTTAGCAAAACTAAGGACAGATCCCAGAATAGCTGTTGGTTTTTATAAGTAGGATATTGGTGTTGCTTAATTCTTCTCTCCCTGTGGGGAATGAAAGCAGTTACGATCACTACATAATTATTTGTGAAGGTCAGGTGCTGCAAATGTGATTCATTCCAGTCAACACACAGAACCAGTTCCACGAATGTTCAGCTATTTAGTCACCCCAGAAGGAATCATTAAGGAGAAGATTAAGACCCAAACCCTTTCCTATTTCTACACTGGGGAGATACTGTCATCCTCTTGTAGTTTGCACCTCCTGCCTTCCTTGGAAACAGGTGGTTACCTAATTTTGTTTGTTTTTTTTTTTTTGGTTTTTTTTTCCCCCACATGAAATTCAGTAAGACTCACTTTTAAAACAAAATTCTAACAGAAGAGAAGATGCTGATAATTCCTCTCCTCCTTTTTATATGGTATCCTACAGATTGCAACCTTTATCTGCCATGTTTCTACAGCTCAAATCAAAGCAAACACATATTTGCCACCTACCAAGAACAATTTAAGAAGTCTGCAGACTACTTTTGGTGTTTAGACCGGGTGATGAATGTCCACATTATACAAAACTCATCCTTTGAGTACTATTTTTCAGTATACTCCTCAGTTTTTATAACAAATAATAACTTTGCCTTATGTTCCATGCTCTCAAAACCAGTTTTCCTAGATGTTGGATGTTAGCTAGCATGGTGATCAGATATTATGTGAGCTCAAGGTGATCACTCACACAGTACTATGTTCTATGTCCTGGCAGGCAGCTGGCAGCAGAGCTTCATTTATGATATTCTGAAGAAAATTTTTACTTTGTTAACACTACACTTCATCCTCCCATAAGAACAGAAGGCTTTTATAACTTTAGGTTTTCATTAGCTATTTTAAAGCATATACAGAGTCACAGCAGAATTTTCCTGGTAAGAAACCATTTCTGAGTGGACACAGATATATTTTGGAACACATCCTGTTCAGTAGTTTGATATAGACAAAGAACAACCTGAGGTTCACTTTTGGGGTTTTATCCTAGTCAAGATTTGTTAAGAGAGTAAAGCCTCATGTGACAAAATTAGGTTTCAATTGTATTTTATTTTTATCAATGAAATATAAAAATTACTTACTAAAGTTTGTTAACCTTCCATATGAGATAAAACAGCAAAACTACTTAATGAGTTCCTCGCAATAATGACAAGGAAGGAAAACACCACAGAATTTTCAAAGTTCAAGAAAGTGAAAAAGAGGACAACTCAGAGTTAGCCACATTATTTTCATAGTACACAACACTGGGAAAACCCCCCGAGATCTAGTATTAATCAATGTGGATTGTGTAGTTGCAGCAGCATTTTAAAACATCTGCAATTCAAATGTAAACACTGAGTAGGTTTTGCAAGTTTGCTGAAGTATTTGATTAGGATGTTCTGGGATATTGCAACACTGATTTCTGCTTTGGGCTGTTACATGCTTCCTGATTGCTTCCAACGACCTATAGTGACTCTTCATGGCTTGAATGTTATTGAAGGACCTCACTTCTGAGATCTGACAGTTTTATGCCTACTTGACATTTTCCAATGTAGATATCAAGCCTGGGGGAAAAAAAAATAAAAATCATACAACTCCTGAGCAAAGAGCATCAAGTACCACCACCCCCACTCCAGTGTCAGAAAAGACATGTTCTTTCATTGTATGTAATTATGTAAATTTCAAATAAATTTTGGAACAAACTCATAACTAGCAAAAAAGTTCTTTTTTCCTTTCAGAAAAAGCAAGAAAGCTCCAGCATCTTATCGTACCTGTCAGATGGTCTGGTTATGACTTCTGTTTTTCCTTCCCCCCCACATCCCCATCCTACATCCCAGCACAACCTCAGGCAAGCAGGATACACCTGCTCCACCATGAGTACCTACTCATGGTTAAGGCACGAAGTGAAGTGAAATGGTGCACATTTTTAAAACCAGCTCAAGCTGCAAGATTGCATTTCTGAGTGCTCTAACCAGGAGGTGACTGTATTACAGCTGCCATCACCACTGTAATTTTAGTAGGAAAAAATAGAGGTGTCTCTGCCTTTAAAAAATCAGTGGTAGCCTTTAGGACTGACTTTAGCCTCAACTACCATGAAAAACATAACCATACCCCACAGCCTGTTGTAGTATATTGCAGTTAGAAGTTCTGGACTGGTCCTTTTGCAGTACCTGAGGCCTCTGAATTGCCCAGTCTTAGGCAAACTTTCCCTTCAAAATGTAAAGAATGCTAACACAATATAGAATCTCGGGTTCCAGATTTCAGTCTGATATTCCGATCTTGCAAGAATCCAATTTCTTCAAAAGATCTGGTTTTATTTCCCCTCACTTAATATGGTACAAATGAAGCCCATTCTTACATAACTCTGACTAATTAGGCTATGCATGTAAAGTCTGACCATCTGACACCAAGCAAAACTACATAGATAAACTAAGACATTTTACCCAGAAACATGAAATTGAAGTTCCATCAGTGATAGACTTCTATAACCTTTGTTCTGAGTAGCTCTTACAAAGTCTTGACCCTGATAAACATGATGGCTCACCTACAAAATCAAATTAAGAGCTCCTGTAAATGTCAGGGCTAATGCAAGTAGGTACATACCACTTTAAACATATATTGTACAGATTTTAATATAATTGCTGTCATTGGGACACAGCCAGAGGACTGGCCACAAAAACTGACAAATTACACTATATCAAAAACAGTTAAAAGTAATTATAAACTGCATTACATCAAAATTATTGAGATTAATAATAATTTGCAAAAGTTAAGACATAACAGAGAAAACCAATAATCTCACAGCTACTTATAGCATCGGGGATTACATCCTCAAGTATTGCAAACCCAGCTTTTCCCTCTCAACTTTGCAAAGTGCAGCAGCAATGCTGACATTTTGAGAAAACAAAGTGCAAAAACTGAAGATAACCCTTACAAATTATTGCATACACATGAACCCTTTCTAGAGTGCTCTCTCAACTTTGCAAAGCGTAGCAGCAATGCTGACATTTTGAGAAAAAATTTTCAAAAAACATTTTGAAAGTGCAAAAACTGAAGATAACCCTTACAAATTATTGCATACACATGAACCCTTTCTAGAGTGCAGTTACAGACATAGCATCATGTTGATATTTACAGGAGTATACTTCACATCAAGTTCTCTTGTTGAGACCACCTCAGCTTATAAAAATAAGCTTTGTAAAAGCCTCTTTGTAAAATAACCCCAAATACAATCAAAAAAACAACACTGCCTCCGAGCCCCTTAGAAAAAAAGAAAAATAAAATCTGATGTACATGCAAAAACAAGTGGGTCAGCACCTTGCCCTCTGTTAAGATGTACCTTTCTCAGCCTAGAGAATTTGTTTTTGCTAATGGGAAAGAGTAAGAGCTCTTGAATCCTCTTCAGGCAGCTCCAGTAACTTCTGTGACCCTCGGGCACTTTTCTCACGTGACATCCCAAAAACACGACACGTGCAAACGCAAAGTTAAAACAACAAGAAGCAAGCACGGGAACAAACAAGTAAAGCTCAACTCGACAGGGAAAGCGGGCCAGGCCGCAGCGCCCGCAGGAAGGCGGCACCGGGACTCGAACCGGCGGCCCCAGCGCTCACCCTGGACTCTCCTGAGCCGCACGTCCGAGGAGAGAAAGTGCCGGGCGGTGCCGCTGCGCACGCGCGTTCCCGGGCAGCACGTTCCGGCCGCGCTTCGCGCCGCCATTTTGGGCGTGCGGCGCCGCCGGGTCCCGCTCGGCGCTGCCGCCCGTGTGCGGTGAGGCGGCTGCGGGAGGGCGCCGGGCTCCGCTCCGCTCCCGTCCCCGACCCCTCGAGCCCCCTGGGTGGCCGCAGCCTCCGCCCGTGCCCGGTTCCTCTTAGGTGAGTGCCGCGTCAGAGCGCCTGCTTTGGAGTACAGGCGGCTCAGTCTGTACCTTGTGTCTTGCATTTGGTTGCATTTAAAAGTCCCTTTGTTATGGCATGAATTGTCTTTAAGTTAGTGGTGCGGGATAGAAGGATGCATTTTAGTGGCTTAACAGTTGCAAGCGAATACAAATGTGTGACCACTCCTGCTTAGAAAGTAGGTGGTGGCTGCCTGTGCGGTGTTCTCTGACTGGTTTGGGTTTTTGAGCTTCAGTGCTGGAAGTGTAGCCAGACCGTGATTTTAGGAGGGTGGATTCACTTTTTTCAGTTTTGTAATTTTGTTTTTTGTGATCTTGAGTTTGTAGTTCAGCTAAGTATGAGGAATTTTTCCAGGGTGTGTTTATTAGGCAGGATGGGGATTTAGAAATACGTGGAATTGTTCGTGTTGGAAGGAACTTTAAAATTCATTCAGTTTCAGTGCCCTTGCCGTGGGCCCAATAGAAGGGACACCTTCTGTTGGACCAGGTTCTTCAGAGAACCATCTGTCCTGGGCTTGTTCAGGGATGGGGCAGCCACAGCTTCTCTGCACAACTTGTTCCAGTGCTTCACCACCTTGACAATAAAATATTTCTTTGTAATATCTATTCTAAATCTTCTCCCTTTCAGTTAAAAGACATTCCCGCCTTTTCTATTATCTCATGCCCCTGTAAAAGGTCCCTTTCTATCCCTTTTAGGAATTGTAAGCTTTCTATGGAACTGTCCCTTTTTCAGGCTGAACAACCCAGCTCCTTTAGCCTGTCTCCATAGGAGAGATGCTCCTCCCTCTCATCATTTTTGTGGCCTCTTCTGAGCTTGCTCCAGCAGGTCCATGTTCTTGCTGTGCTGGGGACCCCAGAGGTGGATGCAGCACTGCAGGGGTCCCTGTAGGGCAGGGCAGAGGAGCAGAGTCACCTCCCTGGACCTGCCTTTGATGCAGCCGAGGTTGTGTTTGATTTCCTGGGCTGTGAGTGGGCAGTGCTGGCTCATGTTGAGCTTCTTGTCAACAAACACCCCAAAGACTTTATCCTCAGGGGTGCTCTCAGTAAGAGAAGTAGTACAAAAATTTATATTTTTTGTACTTTGTAGTTTTCTAATGATTTTTCTACCCTTCTTCCTCATAGAGAGATACGTACTTGTCTACTGCTGGGCCGTGTTTGCTTTGGAAGATGTGTTACTAATGAAGGTGGAAAGGTGAGTAAACAGCAAAAAGTCATTTTGTCAACTGTAGAAATGTGGCCGTGTCAGTGTGATGCTGTTATTCAGGCTGTGATAACAGACAAGCATTAATGCACAAATAGTTTTATTTTGTTATGTATTAGTGCAAATAGGGCATAGTTTCAGTGAAGAGGGGGGGGAAAGGGAGCAGAGTTTCAGTCAGGCCCCTTCTAAAATCTAAATCTTCTTAGTGATCAAATGTTTCTTCCAGGCAGACAGCACCAATTCCTTAAGGCTGTTTGCTTTCATATGAAGGGGGACAAAAAAAAGGCAGCAGAGTTTCAGTCAGGCCCCTTCTAAAGTCTAAATCTTTGTAGTGATCAAATGTTTCTTCCAGGCAGACAGTACCAGTTCCTTAACACTGTTTGCTTTCATTAAAAGCACCCAAATTTTTACTATCTGTTACAATGGAAGGTGGATGAAAAGGGCCTTGTTGAAGCAGGAATTTGTCAGATCTGGGTTTGATGCTGCTTTTACTGGGAGGAGTTTTTTCTTTTTTTGGTGTCCAGTGATTTTGATTTTTTTGGGTTTGTTTTTCGGTTGGTTTTAGAAGTTATTCATCCTCCATCCTTCTGCCCTACTGCATTACAGTAGGGGTGCTCATTTATTTATTAGAGGGGGTTTTTTTTGGTGTGTGGTTTTTTGGGGGGGAGGGGGTTAAATTTTTTTTTGTGAACTAGAATGATAGGGATCAATATTTTTTGGTGTCCAGTGGTTTTGATTTTTTTGGGTTTGTTTTTGTGGTTGGTTTTAGAAGTTATTCATCCTCCATCCTTCTGCCCTACTGCATTACAGTAGGGGTGCTCATTTATTTATTAGAGGATTTTTTTTTTGGTGTGTGGTTTTTTTGAGGGGAAGGAGGTTAAATTTTTTTGTAAACTAGAATGATAGGGATCAATATTTTTTCTGAAGACAGTTGTGTATTCACTTGCTACTTCATGTTTGGTTGTGATGAAAACTGTCATGACAGTTTCACTGAAGATTTTTTTGCAGGCTGAAGGGGATCTTGCCCTAAAACCTTGTAGTTGAAACTGAAAGTTTAAGTTCCAGCTTTACATAAAAATTCATAAATCAAGGTTATCTTTGTCCAGAGTACCCTTGAGCATTTATCCACTGTCTTTGCATTTGATGTTGTCTACCTTAAATTACTTTGTTAAAACAGCAGTTCATTTAATGGAATTGCTTGATTAAATTTTTGTCATACACAGCCTTTTTAAGTAATGTGAAGTCAGAGATTCACTGAATCATTGATATGTGAATTAAACTGGAAGTTTAAGACTGGATTATAGATCACAAAAGTATCTGAATGTTTTAAGATACTAAAACTGTCGGAATTGGAGTGTTGAGACCATACAAAACACAGCTGGCACAGTTGTTACTTGATAAGCAGTGCAGAAATGTTGCACATAGATGATAACTCAGTATGTCCTTGCAATTATGAGAACCTGAAATATGCTATTGCTACAATTGGTACAGACAGCTAGAGTAAACAGTAGAGCATGGAGCTGTAAATTGTCAGTGATTTGAAGAAGTGATTTAGACAGAAAATGCAGGGTGAGTAGGGGATCAGTCCTTGGTCTTTTACACATGAAAAGGAAGGAGAAACAGACTGGAATACCTTGGTGTTATTGTGGGAGCAACATTTTGGTTAAAAATTAATCTCAAGTGATAAAACCAATCTGTTGCCATGTGGGTGAATCCAGAGGTACTTTTTTTGGTGTTATCTGAGCATGTCTTTACGAAGAGAATTGTGCGGAGTATATCCCAGTTGCTTAAGACATGGCATGCTAAATGTTTAGTATATATTTCAGCCAGAATTTTAATAATGTGCTGTTAAACCGTTTTGAAAACAAACGTTATGTAATGAATTAGCTGCAAAGAAAAAATACAGAAAATTATCAAAATGATCATACTCTTTTTCTTTGCAGACAGGATGGAATCTCTGACTCCTTCACCAGACTCAGTAGATAAGAAATTGAAGATAACTCATGTAGAATGCCATCCTGAGTGCTTGGTTATAGTATTCCAGGCTCAGTACAACGTAGGATGTGAGCTTGACTATTTCATACTACAAAATGAAATACAGCGTGTGTTCAAAGTAAAAGATGATGTCTCTGTTGGTGGATCTTGCTTGGTGGAAGACACAGAAGGAGAATGGCATAGAGGAAGAGTTCTGAGAAAAAAAGGGAATATCTGTGAGACTTTTCTTATAGACACTGGACATGTGTTAGCTGTTGAGGAAACACATCTTGCTGCTGCTAGTGATAAATTGTTTCAGCTGCCTCCAAAGGTGGTTTTGGGTATTTTTGCAAGCATACTTCCTCTTGGAGAAAAATGGGGTCCGAAAGCTGTTAACTATTTTTCATCTCTGGTAGGATTACAGATCACTGGTCATGTGAAGGCTGTTACACCATATCAGCTGTTTATTCTAGAAGTGCCTAAGATTATTACTGATGTTCTTGAACTGCAGCTAGGTAAATTTATTGATGGAGATTCATTTTGTCTTGTTGTAGGAACTTTAAGAGCATTGCCCCAAGGAATGCTTTGTAAGAGAATGCCACAACTGTTGACACAGCAGTATCCGTTCAGGGAGTTACTTACCTTAAATAATTCTGAGAAACCAACAGATTTTTGGCATGTTCCAGATCAACTCTTTCCATGTCTACCTGTTGGCAGTAAAGAAAATGTAAAAATAACTGGAGCAGTAAGCCCAAATAAATTTTATTGTCAGATACAGAAGTGGCAGAAAGATCTGGAATGTTTGACAGGAGCCATGCATTTGTACTATGAAGCTCTTGTTGGAGAAAATACCACATGTTGTGATAGTTTCGGGCTGCTCTGTGCTGCAAAGAGGCAGAATGGACAGTGGCATAGAGGAGTGATAAAACAACTCCTCTCTGACCATGTGGAGGTCTGGTTTATGGATTTTGGCATTATTGAAGCTGTGCCACCTAGTTTTATTCGGAAACTGAAAGCTGAGTTCATGACGTTACCAATGGTTTCATTTCCATGTACACTGTCTTGTTTTGGTAGTCAGGATGAAACAATAATAAAATTACAGTTCAAAGAACTTACACAAGCCTTAATAGGACAAACCTCTGTGTGTGTCCAAGTTGATCTATACAATAACACTGAACGCTTGTATTATATAACGCTGCAGAAACAAAATCTTGGAATTAATGCTGAGCATCCAGAAGACCAGAATGAGACAGCTGCTGCCCCATGTGTCTCGCTTTTGGAAACAAAAACCAGAAGTATTGCACTAAACCACAAACCAAGTCCTGAGAGAAACAATTTGTCTAAGATTTACTCTGGAAACAAAGATAAAAAAGCCTGCTTACCTGAACAGGACATTTCTTTCTCCAGCCACTGCAAGAGTGTAGAGATGGAAATGAACTCTTTTTATGGAGCTTTTGTAGTATACGTTGTAAATCCATCTGACTTTTGGATTCAAACGTGTAGATACCAGAAGGAGTTTCATGTCTTGATGAAAAACATTGCCTCCACCTACAGTCAATATAAAGATGATGAGATGGTCCTTAAAAAGCCAGAGCCTGGGTTGCTGTGCTGTGCCCGGTATAGCAGGGATGGGTGTTACTACCGGGGTGTTGTCACAAAAGTGTTTCGTGTTAGCATTATGGTTTACTTTTTAGATTTTGGAAATACAGATACTATACCCTGTCACTTTGTGAAAACATTGCTTCCTGAGTTTTCTGATTTACCAGCTTTAGCTATGTGTTGTTCCCTTGCTTGCACAT